TTCGTGTGATGTATGCCCAAAACAATGAATTATGTTTATCTTATAGAAAAATTGGCCGACAGAAAAGAAAAAAAAAAAAACCTTACATAACATACGTATATTATTTACATAAATGTCATAAGGGGAACTTTTTCTAAAGTTTCCAAATTATATTGGGTTTTAAATGTGATGATGGAACTATTGTAGGTTTAGGTGGTTTCATCATTTATAACTTAAAAAGTATCATTACAGGTGGAAATCCGATATTTAAAATAAGTTTAGAAATTATTGCTGAATTTATTTCAAATAATTGACAAGATTTAAGATTTTTTTTTGAAAAATTAATTAAAATTATATTATATTGAATAACAACAAATTTACAAAAATAAGTGTTAACTAGATTTTAACCCGCGGGATGATTTATTTTTGAAAGTTAGTATAAAAATATTTTGTAAATTGTATCTCCTTTAAAATACTTATTTATATTATAGTTTACAATTGTTATTAAGTAATGGTATACCACGAGTCCACGAGACAATTGTTAATAAACTGAAGATTTAACCCGTATTAAAACGGCATGTTAATGATATTTATTGATTCAAATTCGTCCGCCATATAAACCCGTTCTTAAATATAACTCATTTCGTAATTTCTTAACCCGTCCCGTGATTTGTTTTTACTATAAAATTTAATTGATTATTTATTATATATAAAAGTTTACAAATCATATCATTCTCTAAGTCATTTATATTTTAATAAACTGAAGATTTAATCTTTATTAAAGCGGCATGTTAATGATATTTTAAAATTTTATAAATATTGATTCAAACTCGTCCACCATATAACTTCGTTCCAAAATATAACCCGTCCTGCAACTTTTAACATGTCCTTCGATTTTTTTTCTAAAAGTAGTAATTTTAAAAATTTGACGATTATTTATTATATATAAAAGTTTGAAAATTGTATCATTTTCTAAGATATTTATATTTTATAGTTTACAATTGTTATTAAGTAACATTATACCACAGGACAATTTTTGGTTTTATACAATTTTTTCTAAATAAGATTCATTTAATATGTCTAATATTGGTGGTATTAAAAAAATTAAGGATTTAATCCGTATTGAAGCGGCGGAATAATGATATTTTAATTTTTTTATTATTGTTGATTCAAAAACCCGTCCCGCCAAACTCGTCCAGTAAAAAAATTTCATTTATTTTATTAATGTTGATCTTATTTATGATATGATTCTAAATCATTGTCTAAATAGTTTAATCGATGTAGAACGTTGAATGCACATTTTCGTCAATTGGATAATATATGTCCGTTTTTAAAATTTCAAATCACAGTTATGCAGAAAAAATTTGATTTTTTTCTACTTTATGTTTTATATGATGATTCAAAACAATTAAAAACAAATCAAACAAAGATGATAGGAGAATCATAATTCTAAATCTTAATAAAATTTTCTAAATATCGAAATTATTAAATATAGAGTATCCAGTATATGAGTTGGGTTAAATATAACCCCACCCAACAAACATTTTGTGACCAAAATTTGTAAAACGGGTCGGATATCTAAAGTATCTGAAAACAATTTTACCCATCCGACTCAAAAGTGACTGCAAAAATACTAGTATAAATTTATAAAATTGAATAAATTATTTTCAGCTATTTAGTGGCTTCAAGTTTTTATGATATTTTTCTAAAAATTACCCAGATTAACACAAATCTGGAGATTAATAACTACATTAACACTCTAATTTTCTAGTTTACTAGAATAACACAAATTTTGTGTAAAATGACCAAAAACCCATTTTTATTCTATTACTCTAGAAAAAAAAACTCAACAATATAACATAAATAAAAGTTACAAAAAAACAAAGAAAACTAAAAAACACTTTAACCCTAATCTATCATCGACGTCCTCTTTTATTTTCTCAGTTTCAAGTTTTAGCATACAAAAACACAAGAACCAACTGGTTTTCGCAATTGAAATCGCTGACTCCGACGAAGACACGAATCCACCGCAAATTGAGTACCTCCACTGCATATTCGAGGAGAACAGCCACAGACGCCGCCGCCAATTGTTGTGGTCGCGCTTGACTTCTCCGATTCTCCGGCGCTTGACTTGTTCTCCGGCGACTCACCAATTTCCTCAATTTTGTTTGCCACCGCCTCTTTAGTCTCCGTGGGTCTGTTTTCAGAGTCTCTTCCGCTAATCCTCTGTTCTTTCTTTTTCCCGGTGTAATCTGGGCTCCCTTCGCATCACTGTTGATGTTCTTCCTCCGTTGGCGACGTCTTTCTTCACGTGTACATCGATGAGTTTAATCTGACTTTTAGGGTTTAAATTTGGGCTGTGATTTGCAGTTTTGATTGGTTACTCAATTGTTGTTGCACGTACTCCCCATTAGTTTCTAACGTGTTTCGGTTTTGATGGTATTTAATTGATCCTTTTCATCTACAAATTCAAACAATTTTAATCGTCACTTAAAACCTTTGTCCATTATAAAAACTGACGTGATTCTTGGATCTCTTAAAGCTCAGAGGATGGTTGGAGAAGCCTTGTCTTCTTATATACTATTAGTTTATTAGCTGAATCTGTTGATCTTGAAATGAAAAATGATCGTTATAGCCACTGTTATTGTGATCCAATGTTAGAGATTTAGTGACAGCTTTTTGGATAAATTTATTTGGTATTAATTAGTTTAACATCAGATTTGTTTTTCTTCTTCTTCTTTTTGAATTACCCCAGTTTCTATGATACAATCGGATTCCTTAGTGAAATGGTGCTCTTTTCTGCCATAGGTCTAGGACGTGCAAGCCTCAGGAACTGAAACTTGAAGGCTTGAGTTTTAGCGAACACTCAATACCTTCTGGTAATGTGAAGTTTATCTAAGTGATTAACCTTTTTTACAAATTAAATAGCTACTTTTGTTGATTTCTCATTGTTCTTTTGCTGCATTGCATAAATTTTCATAAAACAAGACTAAACTGATAGATTTGTGGATCATAAATGACATATTTTTTTTCGATTAATTCATTAGTGACCATTTTTTTTGTCCCAATTTAGAGAATAGGTTGTCTTAGAAAATCTGGATTAATTCATTAGTTACTAACAGATTCTTCTTTTATATGCTGCTTTAAGATTTTGTTAATGTTTATGAATGATTATGAATGTTTAAGACTTAATGTCATACACATTTAGTCACATATGATTATTGAAACTTATATCTCAGTTTTTGACGATTGTATATTTGTTTCCTTCTAGTTTTAGTATATTTGATAATGTGGTTTGCATTTTCTGATATAGTTTGGACCTTTGAGAATATAAGGATGCCTTATATGTATATCATCTATGCATTCTTTATTTTGTCTCTTACTCTATTTAGTTTTATCCTTGCATCTGAATGTTATGAAAAATGATCGTTATAGCCACTGTTATTGTGATCTAATGTTAGAGATTTGGTGACAACTTTTGGATTAATTTGTTTTGCATCAGATTTGTTTTAAATTGTGTATTAGCTGACTGTATTAATCCACAATTGTTATCTGTCCAAGATTGGTCTCATCAGAGAAGGATTAGGTGTTGATGTTTGGGATGAATTGGAGAAATCATCATTAGGTGTGTTTATTAAGCTAGCTGAACTAGAGTACACATGGGCTGCTAAGAAAGTACATCTAGTCCTCACAAATCAGTTGAAAGTGGATAACAATCATGAGATATGGTCTATGATTGATGGTAGACCAATCTGATTCTCCTTAAATGAGTTTGCTGCTATAATAGGGCTGAATTGTGATCCATATGACCCGTCGGAAAAGTTTGAAGCTGATCACCGTGAGCTATGGAAGGCAATGAAAGTACCAATATCAGAAGGTCCAAAGTTCAATGAGTTGCGAACTGTGATGGATCTTAGCAAGGCATGGGACTTTTAAGGAGAGGATGATGGTGGGTAGGTTGTGTTTATTATCAGTGGCAATACATGGAGTGCACCACGGATCTAGAATTCCTTTGCCTAGTGCTATAAGAATTCTTGATCTAGTGAGTTTTGAGAAATATCCGTGGGGACGAATGGCTTTTGAATGACTACTTAAATCGGCTAAGATAGTTGACTTTAACAAAGAGGGTTATGTTATTAAAGGATGCGTTCACGCTTTGCTTATGTGGGTGTATGAGAGTTTCTGTAAGACCCCGGTTTCAGGAATATGGTGGTGCATGCGGAGAGGTTTAAAAGAATTGATTTGGCCACCTATATCACCAAAGTGCACTTATCTTTTCGGTCAACTGTCCTGAGAGAATTCAACAGTTAAGCGTGCTTGGGCTGGAGTAGTTTCAGGATGGGTGACCTTCCGAGAAATGATTATCGGAACTGTGTGAGTGAGGACAAAAAACACAGGAAAAGATCATGTGGTGATTTGTAGGGTCGGTAAACAAGTCTTTAAAGCCTCCCGGACGTAGCGGACCGGCCGTCGGACAGGGGTGGGCCCATGGGCCCGAGAGAGGACGTGGGGCCCACTGGTAGGGACGGTCGGAGAGTTACAGTTTCCCTGGATTAGGAGAGGGTTATGGGTTGAGAAGGCCTATTTTGACTGGTATTCCACTTCTTGATTGGCAGTCAACTCAGAAGGATATCGACCTTACAGAATTCATTAACAACGAGAAGACTTTGCATGGGCAGGTTAGTTTTTGACATTTTAAATGTTGTGTCTTTATTTGTTGTCTTTATGTGTCAAACTAGTTGATATCTTTATGTGTCTTTTTCCTGTTCTTTCTCTGCAATGTGAAATTTAGAATCTGATTTTATTGAAGTGTTATGACTGTTTTACACATACTTAAGGTGCAGTCTTATTTTTTTTAGTGTCATGGTAACACAGTTTTGTTTATCTAAATTATCAAATCACACTAACCTATTAAGTTAAGCTGCAGTTTTTATTTCAATGGTGGTGCTGATTTATTTAACATTTTGTATGTTGTATATAGGTGCGTGTGAGGCACATGATTACCTGTAACAGAAGAAAACATGTATTCTCAATGGAGTAATGCGGAGGAGGATAAGGATCCAGCACTAGACAACTTAATAAAAGACATCATCCATAATCGATTGGCTTTAGATGCTTGGAAAGGTGTGCTAGCTTTTGGTGTGTCTAAGAAGAAACGGAAAGTAAAAGCTATTGTTGATGAAGAAGGTAGTATCACACGGAAGGGGAAAAAGATCAAAATGGCTGAATTTTCTGGTGAAGAAATCAAAATTCAAAACGAAGACGAGAAGATAGTCTCAGAAGATATACAGGTTATGTTTTCATGCCTATTCCTAATTAGTTGTGTTTTAGTAATGTACTTATTGTGCTTCAACTTTTTAAAAAAATCTGAATATCTTATTGATTGTAGGTTGATAAGTATGACAAAAAAGGCTTCTCGGATATTTTATTGATGAAGGAAAAACTGAATGGGAGTACTGTAGACATGGGTAAGAATCTGAGTAGTAGGATCGATGACTAAAATGTATAAAAAATCTGTCATAATATGAATAAAAATTAAAATCTGTCATTGTGTAAAACATATTTGTCATCACTATATGAAGTCATTCCAGCAATTTCTTTTTTCATCACTAAATCTGTTGTAATGTGACCGTTTTTTTTTTGAACTAATCCTAAATCTGTCATAATGTAAATAAAATCTGTCATCACAGAAATATTTCATTTGCGATTGTATGTCAATCTAGCAATTTTTTTTTTGTATGACAAATCTGCTATCACTTGACAGTATTTTTGTTTAAAAAATAAAAACTGTCATAACATTAAAAAAATCTGTTATCACTACTAAGTCATTCTAGTAATTATTTTTCCAAAAACAAATTTGTCACTTTATGAAAGATATTTTTATGAAAATTAAAAGTCTGAGGCCACTAGGAACATAAATCTGCCACTAATTTTAATAAATCTGTCAAAGTAATGAAAGTCTGTGGTGTCATCAAAAAATAAGCTGTAGTGGGGTAAAAAACTACAACAAAATAAATATCTGTCACAACCTGTTAAATTAAGTCTGTGAGCGATAAAAAATATGTCACAGAAAATCTGCCGTTGATAAATAAGTCTGCCATTTAAAATAAATCTGTCATAACGAATCCAGCAGACTTTTAAAAATCCAAAAAAAATTCTTACGTTTTTATGAGAGAACAAGGGTATTATCGTTATGAAAATAACCAATCTAACCCCCATATTTTATGAAACATTCTAATAATTAAAGTCATTGGCTTTGAATGGTAACCCATTTTTTCTTTCTAAATTCTTAATATTATTTATTATGTCTACCGCTATGATGTTTCCAATCAGAGTAAATTTTTAAAATTTGTTCTGCGTTATTTTTTTGTACAGCTTTCGTGTTTTATTCTTTTGTACAGCTTTGCACTATTCCCTAACAGCTAACAGCTCCAGCTAACAGCTAACAGCTTCTTACCAGACCCATTATTTGGGTCAATCTAGTAACTTTATGAAAAAAATAATTAGTAAAATATCAGAACAGCATGAAAGATCCCACAGCTCGGAATTAGGAGCCACGTGAGTCACCACCATAGCTGCCCAAAACAAATCCAATTTCATATTTCAGATTCTCTCCTTATTATTTAATCTGAAGTAAAAATCTAAAGTTATAAAAACCAAAAATGTACGATCTCAAAGAGAGATTAAATTGTTCATACCAAAAAGAAAAAAAAAATTAATTTGACTACAACCCATTTAGATACTTCTAAAGATATGGAAAAGAGACCGAATACAAAAGTTATTTAAATAAAAAATAGTTATTTGGCTTAGGCTTTTTACGGATATTTAGTCTTCTTTGTTCAAACTAAACCATTGGACACAATGAAAGTCCAATCCAAGTCGAAACAGATTCTTAAACTCATATTCTTTTTTTTTTTTTTATTAAACTAATCTTTACGCAACCAAAGGGAAAAAAAAAAACAGATTATAAACTTTATTAGAGAGACCGCACGACAAGAATCCATACATGTAACATATAAGACTATATGGTGCAAAGAAACTAATTAAGAAGATTAAAAAACAAAAACAAAAAATAAAAGAGTACGTTAACAGAGAGGAGATCGTTGAGGAACGCCTTTTCGCCGATTAATGCAAGTAGAAATATCGTCAGGATCCTCCGAAACTTCTTTATAACTATTAGCCGATTTGGCGCAAAGGCAAAAACCGGTCCGCTTTTTCCTCACGACATGGGTTGTGGTCGCGGCATAAGCAGCAGCCGCACCCGTATTGTTGTTATCCGAGGAAGCGGAGGACCAGCTCATGGACTCATCCCCGTCTACCACAGTTGATCTAGGAGTCTCGTAGACCGCCACATCATCATCCGTCAGTAAGTCTTGTGGGATGATGTAGTCAGGACCTAGGGTTAGAGTGTGACATGGCTTTAGGAATGGGGTTAAGTCCCTATAACGTTTCATCACAAAGTCCACCTACATGTATATAAACAAAAACCTTTTATATAATCCCATCTTTTGCGACTTTAAATTACTACATGCTTAAAAACGCTTAGATGTTTACTACATGTATGTGTATTTTCTGACAACATGATATATTACAAAGTGCAACATTGAAAAGATTTGAAGTGTGGTGGTGTCTTAAAACACTTAGGACCAAACCACTAGCTCACATGATATGGGAGTATTTATGCACATAAACATAGTTCCAAGTTCCAACGGCAAGGTCAATGAGGATATTATAGACTTATTAAAAAAAAAAGTTAGACTCCTCTTTATAGAATTTCTTCATGTTTTTTGTTTAAATACATTAGTTCAAAAGGACAAGATTTCAAAATCGAGCATATACGGATTATTTTATAAACCTTTTTTCTTGAGATTCTCATCTGCGGAAACTAACAAAATTTACGGGTTGAAAACATTTTAAAGGAGTCAGGTTAGATAATTATATTTTAACTAAAAATAAAATAAAAAATGTGTATGTTTGAAAAACAAAAATCAGGGTATTTGGTAGTATACTTGTTATAGGATCCGATAGATGTATTCGTATTTCTATTTGTGGACGAGTTAAAAAGGGGAACATGTGTTTCTATCAGAAAAACGAATCGTCTCTAAAGGTTAGACTATATCACATCATCTAATTATTACATATATATATATAAAACTAATATATATGCTAAATGAGAATCATATATTAAGTAGAATTGAGTCAAATATTTTGTAGAAGTAATAGTTAGGAGGAAATAACCTTACAACCCAAGGAGCAATGGATATAAGGTTCTTGAAGACTTCGGTCACATGATGTGCAATAGTTGCCAGCTCCTTTGAATTGTCTATTTTGTGGTCTCTTCTTGATGAACACCACTTTTGCACTATTTATAGTATAAGCCTGTCCATAATTCAACCACCAATCCATTTATATAGATATGAGATAAGACATATATGTATAATAGCACTTATAATAGATTACTTACTTGAACGTTAGAGCAGTCGATTAGTTTTTGAAGATCTTCAAGCCGAACAACATCGTGATACACATAACGGCGAACTTGAAGGAGTCTATGAAATCTATGAGAGGGTACACAGTGAGGACAGAGACTGGTGCAACAATCAAGACAACACACGTTCCTCTCGTTCTTCTTTGCTGTCTCATGGTAAGGACATCCTACGAAGAACTTCTCTGCGTATAGCGCATCCAACCATGCTGGTTTCTGAATTCCCTACCACATGATTTACAAAATTTCTAAATTAATTATTTGATAAACAAGCTTAAATAAATAAAGACAAGTTCATAACATAATTCAATTGTTTCCTACATCCACCATTAAAATTTATAATAAGTACGAAGAAGCCAAGATGAGGATAAAGCCACAAATATAAGGAATTCGGTACGATGATTGAGAATTATATGGTAAAGAAACTGAGATGAAAGATATAGATTCACTACTTAAGATAGTATAGAATTGAAGAAGTAGTTAACCTACCATGAGGACACAACTCAAAGTAAGCTTTGGGAGATGGAAATTTTTGGCCACTACTCACTACAAAGAGTAATATTCGGAAGAGAAAAGGGAATTTTTAGGGGAGTACTGATGATAGGATTTATGGAGGATCACAAGGGAGAGAGAGAGAGAAAAAAATAGCATATACTCCGTATATTTAACGAAAAATAGCATGTATAAGCAATAAGAAAGATTTATGGTATCAGTCGCTAAAACGATCGATTTTCAGTTTTCAAAAATAAAGATTTCATTTTAAATTTTAAAATCAACTTTTAGAAAGAAACGGACCTCTTCTACCGAGACATTGAAGCCAAAGGTGTTCCAGGCAGCAAGTCCTCAGAAGGAAGGCAGTAAGACCGTTGGTAAACCGCAGCCGTGTCAAAGTAAAACAGGTTAGTCTCTTGCTAAGATGTATTTGATTTAAAAAATTTAAAATGGCCTCCTCATTTAGAAAACTGTTAAAATCCGGCCAATCATCAACTTCTAAATCAACAATAAATTCAAGAGAAATAATATCAAAAATATCAACATTTAATAAAGAAATATCAAGGGATTCCTTACCACATATTAATGCTGAATATATATATCAAATCGGAACATTTGATTTTAAAACAGCTTATTCAATAAAAGAACATGAACAAACAATATCTCTACAACATCAATTCGAAGAAATTAAATTATTATCATCAATAGCTCTAGATAAATATAAGCAAAAAGGATTCAACTATCTTCATTTCGGATTAGTTCAAATAGCAATAAAACCATTATCAAGAACAGGAATTGATTCACCCATTTTAATGTTATTAAGGGATAAAACCCTTCTAAAATTTGAAGACTCACTTCTTGGTGTAGTACAATCAAATTTATGCAATGGGGCAGTCTACTTTAATTGCGCACCTAATTTTCAAGTTAGTCTTCATGATCCGACTATACTTAACACATTAGTGCTAAACGTTCATTTACCAGAAGTCAAATTCCAAAATGAACGGCATGGTTATCTACTCTTATACCGAATTTATTTTAAACAATCCAATTCAGAATTCAATCCAATATGTTTACTACAAGATGATAAAGAAGAAACAACAATACTAGCTATGCATAGTAAAGACACTCCTTCATCTACATATGCACCTAAACAATTAAAATGGAACGAAATTACTATTCCAGATCAATGGAAAATAGATATTACGCAACCTCCAAGAAATTTTGAACAAAGAAATATCTCAAAAATATTTGAACAGAATGATGGAAAAATATTATTAAAATTTGAATCTTTTAGAGAACCTATTCCACCGAGAATTAGTTCATATTATTCAAATAACTCAATATATAGAACTCCTGCAAGAGCTTCCTTTTCCGAATAATATCCTGGTCAAACTAGTAAAGAAGAAGATTCGGAAAATATAAATCAAAATGAACCAATTAAATTTAAAGCACCAATAGCAGAACCTGAACCTAATATATATCCAACGTCCCCTACACAATCTGATTTTCAATCAATAAATGTTATTATAAAAGATTTTGAAATAAACAAAGAATACATCAAAGAAGAATTTTACTCTCTAAAAAATGAAGAAAAAAGAGAATGGTACTTCAAAACTTTTAATAGACAACAAACAATAGATTATAGAACAAAATGGTATGATTTTATGCTAGAAAAGGAATTAGATATTCCATTTTTCATATGGTTTGAAGACTATTCAACAAATAATAAAATAAATTATCCATTTAAAGAAATTAATGTAAATTCTTCACTAAGCCAAACATGGGAACAATTAGATGGTAGAAAAACTAATTCAATACATCCACCACTAACCGATTTAAAAATACAAACAAGTAATAGACAAATTATAGCGGTTCCATTCAAGACAGGAGCTAACGAAAATGATAATGATACTGTAACCAAAAAAGAAATAAAAAATATTTATCAACAAAATAATTTTCAAAGTCAAATACTACATACGATAGCTAAACAAATTGATAATATAGATAATAAATTGGATACAATTAACGAAGAAAATTCAATACCAAAACCGTTTTGTTCAGTATCAACACCTATGTTTAAACCATTTAAAAGAGAAATAAAATTTGCAGACAATGAAATATTAAAATCAATCTCCACCAGATTAGACAATATAGATAAAGGGAAAAATGCTATTAACAATATAGACGAAGCTGACGATAGTCAATCTTCGGAAATTGAAGAACGAGAAATAAATAGAATAAAAAACCGAAATATCAAAAGTAATAAACCCTATTACTCAAGGCACTCACCACCAGATATTCTATTTGAAGAACATTATAAATACAATGCAAGTATGTATACTGGAGATGGTCTATATGAATGGAATATAGATGGTAAATCAGAATACGAAATAATGAGCTTATTACAAGAAATGGGTATCGCTGCTCTAGCCTACAAAGCTAGGGGAAAAACTGATAGACAAACTTGCATTATGCTACTAGCTGGTTTTACTGGCGCATTAAAATTTTGGTGGGATAACTCAATAGACTTAGACGTTCAAGAAAAAATTATTAATCATATCGAAAAAATAAAAACTTATAACCCCGATAATTCCTGGGAAGAAATAGAAAAAGAAAATGCCGTAGAAGTTTTAATCCATACAATAACTATGCATTTTATTGGTAATCCAGAAGAAGAATTAGAAAGCAAAAAATTAATATTAACCAATTTAAGATGTCCAACATTAAGTGATTTTAAATGGTATAAAGACATTTTTATTACAAACATATTTCAAAGAAATGATTGTAATCAAGCATTTTGGAAAGAAAGATTTGTCTCTGGACTACCATCTTTCTTCTCTGAAAGAGTATTTAACAAATTAAGAGAATATTCAGGAGGACAACCAATCCCCTGGGATACAATAACTTACGGTCAATTATTTGCATTTACTAAAAAACAAGGGTTAGCAATATGTCAAGAACAACGTGATAAAAAACGCAATGATAAATTCAAATTTAAAATTTCAATGGGATCGTTTTGTGAACAATATGGCTTCCCTCAACTTAATCCACCATCTAGAGAAAAAAGAATTAAGCATAGACAAAGAAATAAGCAATTCCATAGAAATAGAAATTATAATAAACCAATGAATAAATTTTACTCTAAAAATAGAAATTACACAAAAAACAAAATTTATTCAAAAAATAAAAAATACTCTAAAAATACTAAAAATGAAATAATATGCTGGAATTGCAAAAAACCTGGACATAGATCCCCGGATTGTAAAATGAAGAAAAAAATAAATGAAATATTTCATGATCAACCCGATATCCAAGATAAACTAACCAAATTATTATTAACCTCTGAATCAGAGAAAACAGAAGAAACCAATAGCGATAATACAATAAATGATATTGAAGATTTAAGTGATTCTTCTTCAGAATCACAAGAATCATCAAATCACACTTGTAACGGAATATGCAATTGAAAATTAATTAATGTAATATCTGATAAAATTAAAAGACATAATAACTAGAGAAAATGGATTCGATACTCAAGAATCATTTAGTTTAAACAAAATATACGAAAAATATCCTACACTGAGTTTATTTAAACAGGTCACCACTGGTGAATTACAAAATGAAATTAAGCAATTAAAAACACAAATAAAAGAGTTAAAGATGACGGTAAATAAACAAGAATTAAATCAATTAAAAATAGATGCAAAATTATCAATATTAGAAAATAATATTTCTATATATCAACCTTCATCAGGCAATCTAATAATAAAAGAAAATCATGAAGATAATCAAGACTACATCCAGATAATTAATAAAATTAATTATCAAAAATGGTATACAAAAATAAAATTGGGAAAAATGTCGAAAAATGCGCCAACTTTCAAATTTGGGACGATTAAAACATGAACTCTCGAAATGTCTCTTTAATCACAAAGTTTCCGTTGACCTGTCTGAAAATAGCCAAGTTTTCGTTGACCTAGCCAAATTAGGCATCGCGTTAAGTCTCCGTTAGAACGATGCTGACGCTGTTAACAATCCGTTAGATTCTCCGTTCGATCAAAACGACGTCGTTTTGAAATTAAAAAGGAAAAATGGCATCTCCAAAGAATCGAACTGATGACCTGTTACACTAATAAGAGACACTCAACCATTGGGCTACACGAACATTTTCATGTTAGTTCAAACAGAACATGTATATATACTAAAAACTGGTAACATAAATTAGGTAAAAATATATGCAATTAATTAAAAATAACAAAACTAAAAAATAATAATAACCAAAAATACACATATTAAATATACTTATCATAGTATATGTATCAAAATCTCAATATTATTTTATAAATAAAGATTTCTTCCATATTTGGAAAATTATTACTTCCGAAATTCCTTCTAATATAAAAAAAAAAAATATATGACATAAAATTAATCATATAATTATGCGTTATATGCACCAATAGAATAAAATCTTTATATATATAATTAAATGTTTAAAATTTTGAAATATATATTTAAGGTAAGTATATTTAATATGTGTATATGTTTGGTTATAAATTTGTTTTTAATTTTGTTATTTTAAATTAGTTGCATATATTTTTACCTAATTTATGCTACCAGTTTTTAGTATATATACACGTTCTGTTTGTACTAACATTAAAATGTTTGCGTAGCCCAATGGTTGAGTGTCTCTTATAAGTGTAACAGATCAGCAGTTCGATTCTCTAGAGATGCCATTTTTCCTTCTTATTTTCTGGTGAAACGACGTCGTTTGAAAACTTCAAAACGACGTCGTTTTGATCGAACGGAGAATCTAAGGGATTGTTAACAGCGTCAGCGTC